GGCACACAGCGGTAATGCCCTAGGACAGATGGGTGAAAACAAGGAAATGTGCAGGGATGGCAACCTAAATGTCAATTCAGAGGCCAAAGCTGCAAGGGGTCGTGCCTACAGGGGCAAAATCCGATTCGGCACCAAGGCCTGCCCTGTGCCCCTGGCGCCAGGGGTTACTGAACTGAGGCACGTGATGGAAGGGCTGCCCAGCCCTGACGGGCGTCCCTGCACACACCTCCCCTGCCCAGAATGGACGGGGCTCCAGCACAACACCAACTCCATCGTGACAACCCAAAAGGTGGGATTTAGAAGCTCCGATTCAAAAAAAAAAAAAGAAAGAACGCAGTCTTTCGTATGATTAACTCCAGCCTCACACAGTCTCAGTTTCTCACCGGCAGACCCATTGATTCTCCACTCCAGGAGGGGAACAATTCCTTCTTCCCGATCCAGGTGAGATCATCACAGATTCAGCGGATTTCATGGCTGGTTTTAAACAAATTAGTATTTCTTATTCGTTAAAGAGGCCTTCACAGAGCGGTATTTGTAACAGTAACTGGCACCAGCCCTGTACCACGTTCGGCTCCGAATCAACTCTGGTCCGGTAGTGTGGGAAGCCGGCTCAGCCAGAAACAAACGGCTCACTGGAATCTTAAGCGATTGAAGACACGGTTATATTTTTCACCGTTCCTGAAGATGAATATTCAGGAAACGTCTGGCTGTGGGCTGTTATCACAGGGGAGAGCCGGAATGAGAATTCCAGTCCTGTAAACTAGAGTAGTGAACTGCCTGGTCTGTCAGGTTAATGTGTTTGACACTGTAACAATAAAACTGAGCTGCTCCACTTTCTGTTCAGAAATGTCCTGTACAAAAGCGGCCTGACCCATAGATACCTCCATGCCCCTTTAGCAAATCCTTAGGGAAACAGGATTCATAAAGCACAAAGAACACTCCTGTCTCTATCAATAGCCCAATCTGTGGGCATCAGCCAGAGAATGTAGTGTCTGTCCATAACATCGGTGACAAAACTGACCCAAGCAGTCACAAAAACTTGTATTGCACATAACGATTAGATCTAAAACTACAAGATGGTTTGTATGGCAACAGGAATAGGTAAGAATACTTCTAGATTTTGTGTCTCACTGTCCCCTCTCCCCACACACACACACA